GCAGCGAAAAGCTTCCCGTCGCGATTTTTTGTCCACAACGGGGGGGGGTCTGGCTGGGTACGGCCCGAACGCCTGGCATTCGGCATCGCTCGGACGTGTGCTGCACTTTTTCTCGGCGAGAACCATCCTGGACCATCGAGCAAAACAAGCACGCACGAAACCGAGAAATGCACGGGAAGTGGACGTCCGAGCGACGGCAAGTGGCACCCTCGCGTCTTCCAGCCATCGCAGGCGGCGCGCCGGGCCGCGCTGGCCTGGCGGGCGGGCCCGCTGCGCGGCGGCCCTGCGCCGCGGGCGCCGCGGCGCGCCGCCGAGGCGCGCGCCAGGCTCCGCGGGCGGAGAAGAGAGCCCTCGGAGGTCCGGCGGTGGGGCGACGAGATCTCCTCTTCCTCCTCCTCTCCTCCTCCTCCTCCTCTTCCTCCACCTCCTCTTCCTCCTCCTCCTCCTCCTCCTCCTCCTCCTCCTGCTCCTCCTCTTGCTTTTTCTCCTCCTGCTCCTCCTCCTCTTCCTCCACCTCCTCCTCCTCCTGCTCTTCCTCTTCCTCTTCCTCCTCCCACCAGTCCACCCCAGCCCAACCCGAAGGCTTCCGCGTGCTGCCCTCCACTTCTGGTGGGGGGGGGTCGGGAAGCAATGGGAAAACACACATGGGACCCGTGCCCCCCCAACCCGACATTGGGATCTTCGTGTTAGGTTGGGGTGGTCTGGTAGGTAGTCATACAGTCAACACGAACAGTAAGGACGCGCGCCTTTCCTAGGGTGCCCTCGTGTCCTTGCCTCTGCGGCCCGTCCTTTGCCGTTTCCATTGGGATTTTGACTGCCCGCCGCCCAGAAAATCCAACCTTCGGCCTCCAAGGGTCTTGCGTCCTTGCCACCCGTCCTTCATGCACGCTTTCTGAATGATGTTCCAACCAACCTTAGCCTTGATCACCGGACTGCATTTCGAGCACCAAGAAAACACCCCCAAACTTGAGGGTTTTCACGTGTCGGGCCCTGGGAGACACTCTCTCGACACTGTTTCGACACTCTCTCGACACTGTTTCGACACTCTTTCGACACTCTTTCGACACATTTCTGGGTGCTCGAAACTACTCCTGGGATGTGGTCCTGAAGTACGATGGGAGCAGCATCATTCCAAGGGCCTTGCGTCCTCACCACCCGTCCTTCGTGCACGCTCTGGCCGTGCACGCCCACCGCCGCGGGCCGGGCCCGTGCGGGACCCCGGCGCGGTGCACAGTGCCGCCCTCCGGGCCAGCAGCCACGGGGCGTGCGCGCCGCTCCCGGGCCCGCGGGAGGGGCCCGGCCTGCGGCGGTGGATGTGTGGGCAGGGGGCCACATGCGAACCCTACCCCTACCCCCCACGAGCGAAGTGACCCCCCCCCTCCCCCTCAGAAATCAGAAATCGTAGGGGGTATGAACCCTACCCCTACCCCCCACTAGCGAAGTGACCCCCCCCCTCCCCCTCGGAAATCGTAGGGGGTAGGAACCCTACCCCTACCCCCACGAGCGAAGTATCCCCCTCCTACCCCCACGAGCGAAGTGAACCCCCCCCCCCCGCCCCCTCAGAAATCGTAGGGGGTAGGAAACCCTACCCCTACCCCCCACGAGCGAAGTGAAACCGCGCCCCCTCCCCCTCGGAAATCGTAGGGGGTAGGAACCCTACCCCTACCCCCCACGAGCGAAGTGACCCCCCCCCTCCCCCTCAGAAATCAGAAATCGTAGGGGGTATGAACCCTACCCCTACCCCCCACTAGCGAAGTGACCCCCCCCCTCCCCCTCGGAAATCGTAGGGGGTAGGAACCCTACCCCTACCCCCACGAGCGAAGTGAACCCCACCCTCCCCCTCAGAACTCGCAGGGGGTAGAGGTAGGGTTCGCATGTGGCATGTGGCCCCCTAGTGGGCAGGTCTCCTGGCCCCGGAGCGGGTCGGAGCCGAGCCTCGGACCTCGGAGGCCCTCCAAGTCGTAAGCTGGAGCACATCGCGTGGCGTTTTTTGTATGCACTGCTCTGCCGAGGGGCGCGTGCCCTCGCACCCCCCCCCGTCCCTCCCCCCCCTGGAGCAGGTCTTGGCCTGTTTTGGGCTCCTGCTTCGAGCAGATGGGGTCTCCCCGACAGGACGCCCTGCTGCAGACAGTCGCATGATTGAGCAGAGGTCAGGAGCCAGAGCCCCCTCTCCCCCTCCCCCTTCCGCTCAATGTCGAAACGCCGAACAAGGAAACTGCACACATTACCAGTGGCGGGCTGGTTTTCGAACCCAAGACTTTTTGAAGGTCGGGGGCGGCGCCGGGGTGGTGTGGTGTATACAGTTCTTTTTCCCAACCCTCCTTGGTTGGGTATTCGTTTTCAATAGAGCAGTCTGGTCTCCACTTCCTCCTTTCCTCCTCCCCGCCTCCCGTCCCGCCTCCCTCTTGCCTCCTCCTGTCTTGCCTGCGGGGGGCTGCGATCTGTGAAACTGTCGCCACTTTCGAGGCCTGCTGGGGGGCCCAGCACAGTGACGCCACGGGCAGACCCAACTTAGACCTCGCCATCCCTGGGGGGGCTGCGATCTGCGAAACTGTAGCCACATTCGAGGCCTGCTGGGCCCACAGTGACGCCACGGGCGGACCCAAATTAGACCTCGCCACCCCTGGGGGGCTGCGATCTGCGAAACTGTCGCCACTTTCGAGGCCTACTGGGGGGGCCCAGCACAGTGACGCCACGGGCAGACCCAAATTCGACCTCGCCACCCCTGGGGGGGCTGCGATCTGTGAAACTGTCGCCACTTTCGAGGCCTGCTGGGGGGCCCAGCACTGACGCCACGGGCAGACCTAAATTAGACCTCGCCATCCCTGGGGGGGCTGCGATCTGCGAAACTGTCGCCACTTTCGAGGCCTGCTGGGGGGCCCAGCACAGTGACGCCACGGGCAGACCCAAATTAGACCTCGTCATCCCTGCTGCGATCTGTGAAACTGTCGCCACTTTCGAGGCCTGCTGGGGGGCCCACCACAGTGACGCCACGGGCAGACCCAAATTAGGCCTCGCCATCCCTGGGGGGGCTGCGATCTGTGAAACTGTCGCCACTTTCGAGGCCTGCTGGGGGGGCCCAGCACAGTGACGCCACGGGCAGACCCAACTTAGACGTCGCCATCCCTGGGGGGCTGCGATCTGTGAAACTGTAGCCACATTCGAGGCCTGCTGGGGGGCCCAGCACAGTGACGCCACGGGCAGACCCAAATTAGACCTCGCCATCCGTGGGGGGGCTGCGATCTGCGAAACTGTGCTGGGGGGCCCAGCACAGTGACGCCACGGGCAGATTCAAATTAGACCTCGCCATCCCTGGGGGGCCTGCGATCTGTGAAACTGTCGCCACTTTCGAGGCCTGCTGGGGGGCCCAGCACAGTGACGCCACGGGCGGATTCAAATTAGACCTCGCCATCCCTGGGGGGCTGCTATATGTGAAACTGTCGCCACTTTCGATGCCTGCTGGGGGGCCCAGCACAGTGACGCCACGGGCGGAGCCAAATTAGACCCCGCCATTCCTGGGGGGCTGCGATCTGTGAAACTGTCGCCACTTTCGAGGCCTGCTGGGGGGCCCAGCACAGTGACGCCACGGGCGGACCCAAATTAGACCTCGCCATCCCTGGGGGGCTGCGATCTGTGAAACTGTAGCCACTTTCGAGGCCTGCTGGGGGGCCCAGCACAGTGACGCCACGGGCGGACCCAAATTAGACCTCGCCATCCCTGGGGGGGCTGCGATCTGTGAAACTGTCGCCATTTTCGAGGCCTGCTGGGGGCCCAGCACAGTGACGCCACGGGCGGACCCAAATTAGACCTCGCCATCCCTGGGGGGCTGCGATCTGTGAAACTGTCGCCACTTTCGAGGCCTGCTGGGGGGCCCAGCACAATGACGCCACGCGCGGACCCAAATCAGATCTCGCCATCCCTGGGGGGCTGCGATCTGAGATCCCCGCTTTCGAAGTGGCTAGGGTTGCTCAGGGATTGCAACTAATCAGCTTTATCTAGTCCTTCTCCTGAAGCCAGTGTCCTGCGAGTCTCCCGAATTCCGTCTGCAGACATATGTAACCCTCGCTCCGTCATCGCCCCCCTTATAAAGTGTCCTAAACTATTAGCGCCCCGCGTTTGCGCAGGGGTTGGGTAGTCGCCAGGGTAATTT